GCGGGGTTGGTCTTGTCCAAGAATATAAAAACAAAGAATCCAATATAAGAAAATGGCTTAGACAATTATTTAGTCTTATGTTTCTAGATCCTAATGAAGTTGAACCATGTTTTGAAAATGACTTTAAAAATAACTAACCCAATGATGCACGAATTAAAAAAATGATCACTTACTTAGACAAAACATACATAAAAAAGATGCAACATTTCCACCTAGTATTTGGGCCAAAAAAGAAGCAACATTAGAAAGAACTAAAAACAACTGTGAGTCTTTTCATGCCAAATTTGGTAATTTATTTACTTCAGCACATCCAAATATTGTAGTTTCCATTAAAAATACATTAGTTATGCAGACAGGTTCTTATATACGAATGAATTCTGCTAATAATAATAAAAGTAGGATAATTAGAACTTGACAAAAAACTAATATGGAATTTATAAATAAAAAAAATAGAATTATATAATGACAGCCAAATTAATAGGTATAATTTTGTAAAAAGTTTAGCTTAATTTAATGATATTTAATTTTAATTAACATTATAATTTTATTATATTAAATTTTATACTGACGACGACAATGATTTTTTTTTTGTAAATTGTAATAAATTTTATAAATTTATAGTCTTTATTATTATTTTTATTAGATAATTAGTTTTTAGTTATTACTATTTAAATTTAAAAAATAAAAAATAAAATTAATTGAATTGATATAAATGTTTTTTTTTCAATAAAATATTTACATATTAAATTATATTTAAACAAAAAAAATCTAAAAAAAAATATATATGCAGAATTACAGTTTTAAAAAACGTATGTACGTACGGAGTTAAGGTGTAAAAAAAAACTTTGTATGCAGAATTAGCTGATATATTATAAAATGGCCACGATGCATAACAATGGTAACAGTTACGGTGTACCGTTTAAAACATCGTGGTTTTATCGACTTAGCAATCAGAAGTAGTCTTAATTTTTTTGTGTCCAACATATTTACTCCTAACAAAAGTGTTACTCCTTCTTGCTATGTTTTCTACCGGAACAAGATTAACCTTTAAATTAGAATGTTTTTTCAGGTCAACGTTTAAAGAATAACCCTGTTTCATCCACAGTAAAAATATCATCCAGTAAACAATTATCGATGAATGTTGGTAAATTATTAAATATTAATCCATACTAAACATTTTTGTATATCTACCGCATTCCTTTCATCACAAATTTCTTTAAAAACAATATTATTGCTGGTTTTCCAATTTGTTAACCACTCACTGCTGTTCATGCCTTTATTTATGCTTAAAGCTCAAACTCTTCAGATTCTTCTCGTAAAACGGATCCATTTATGGGAAATTTTTTGTCAAGACATTACTGAAACAATTTAAATAAACATGATTCTATTACAAAGTATTCTCCTGGTTTCATTTTTTTGCAAATTGCTGAGTTTTGATTGAAATCTTTTAAAATTACATTTTTTTTTTTTTTTATTATTGTAGAATGTAGACAACGTACATGCTGGAATTTCAAATTTCTTGGCTACACCTTTTTTCTTTTTACCCTAATCTATAATTTTACGCAAATTCACTTATTCTGTAAGTACTGATGTTACCTATTAATTTTCTTTTTTGAGCCATAATACTCTATCAAACAAAGCATGATTAAACGAACAAACGGCGCAAAAAACTAAAACTAAAATTTATTGTATGAAGTTATCAAGGTTCAAGTTTACTTTAATAGTTGAATTTTGCAAAAAAAGTCATAATCAAAATATAATCACGGCCATAAACTATATATACTTAGTACTAACATTGGATAAAAAATTCAAGATATTTAAATTAATGGTGTCATTAATATACGGATTCCAATACTATTCGGATAATCTGAGTATCTGAATCCTAATAATATGATGGGTAAAATCCGAATTATCCGAATAATCCGGATATTTTAAACTTGTTGCTTAGTTATTAAAAATTTTAATATTTGTTATTTAATTTATAGGTTTTATACTGTGTTTTATGTAAGTTGGTAAAACTTAAAAATTAATAATAATAGTTTTACGTTATAATTTATTAATTTCTAGAAAATTTGAATTATTCGGTTAGTACATTTTGGATACAGGTGATATTCGGACATCCAAAAATTCAGTTTTTGACATAATTTATCGAAATCAAGTCCAGTTGATTTTCGACTTGACAAAATTATTTTAACATTAAGTATTATTGTTTTTTAAAGAGAAATTTTATTTATTCAAGGTATCGAGAATTTCGAATTATCAAGGTTCGAGTTACCTAGAGTCGGCTGTACCATTAAAAAAAAAAACATGTCGTGGCGTTTGAAATCAATATATTTAATGATTGTTAGAGATTTGAAAATCAAGACCATAAAAATTCATTTTTCACCAGTAAACCACTGGTGCCAATCACTTGAAGTCGGAGACGAGACAATCTCGACGACCCTAACTAAGGGTTGCCCGTAGGGTTTGAAGTTCGGACCAGATCTACGAAAATAGGCAGTCAACCAACTCTTGTCCAGTGATCTCCTCTTTGGTACAGAAGTCGTCACATACCCCGACGATCTAGCACTGCTTGTCTCCGGTAAACACCGTCCAGAACTCAAGGAACATGCGAACGTGCTATTAGAAATAGCATCAAGATGGGTCTCTGACAGGAAACTAACCTTCTCGGTGGCCAAGTCGCAAACCTTGTGGTTGAAGGGCAAACTTAGTAAGCCCCTAGACCTGCGGCTTAATGGGACTACGATCAAAATAACTCCCATGGCAAAGTACCTCGGGGTCACCTTTGATCCGGATATGAAATTTAGAGCTCATCTGGCGGAAAAGCCGATTAATATCTGTAGCTAAGGCAACCTGGGGCTTTAATGAAAGGACGACAAGGATCCTGTATAAATCAGTGTTCTTGCCACGTATGAGATATGCAGCCTCGGTTTGGGCCAAGCGTTGTATGGCGCAATGCACAATACCAACACCAGACACGGGCTAACATCACCCAAAGATAACGTGACCATACGTCCCGCTTTCGAGCTAAGTGTCCCGCTGTCCTCAAAGAACCTAAAAATGTCCCGCTTTAAGAAAAGTCGACTAGTGGTAAGTGTTTATTGATAACAAATTACAATCATACATTATTTATACATTTATACTGTATAGACGTAAAGACGTATAGTATAACTACGTAATATATATATATATATGTATTATGTAAAACACAAAAACCCATAGTCCATAGTACATAGATCAAAATGGCACAAAAATAACTACCTTATTGTTATTGTCGCTGCCACCGCATCAACTGCGGGAATCGGCGATAAATGGAATACGGCCAAATAATATACTCTATTATTTATTTTTACATTATTTATTATTATTATTATTATACTTATTAATATATTGGTGCCATTTTTCTGTTGCCATTTTTTATACAAATAGTTTGTTTATTTTCCAATAAAAAAATTGTTATTTTTCGCAAAATGATGTGGTTTTCTTATTAAAATATACAGGTGTCCCGCTTTGAAGAAAAAAAAATATGGTCACGTTACCCAAAGGCCAAAGACGCCCGTTACTGGCAATAACAGGTATGTATTAGACCGCGTTGAAATAAAGCGGCGCCCCTAAGGATCGCTGAACGCCCTCCGCACTAAGACCCGCCTAGCCGGAGAGGGACGGGATATTTCGATGGGCGAATTGAGAGCCCTCTCCCTATGACTTAAATCTTTCCAGTGGCGGACTGGCCCGGGTGGAGAGTGGGAGAAATCCACCGGGGCCGCTATCGGGAGAGGTCCCTCATCATCATCTACATTTAATAAAAAAAATATTATATTTGATCATGTTAAATTAACAATAATTATTAATAATAACACACAATTCTGTCTATATATAAATATATCATAATTATTAAATTTTTAAGTATAAACACATGCCTTGTCACCAACCCACTCAACCCAGCTTATCTGTTTGTCATTTGAAAAATAATTTTCCCTGACCGGCGCGATAAGCTAAAATTAGAAATAATAAAATTCCGACTCTCGTCGGTCACCATCGTCCGACGACCACCAATTATAGACCAATATTATTTTTATTATGTATAATTTTATACTTTGTTATCTTTGTTGTGAATCGTCAAACGTCATTCGTTATTTTATTTTGTTAATCTAAAAATATTTAAAATTGAACGTTTAAGTAGTGAAAATTCAATAAATTGCGTAACAAATTTACCTAACTACCGAAGACCGTTCAGAGAATACTTAATACTTATTGTTGTATTTGTTATTTGTCAACTAAACGTAGGTAAGTATACCTTTGAATAATTCACAAAATTAATAAATACTTTTTAGTTACAAATAATTATATTTATAAATCTTCATTCCAACAATTTATTTTCAAATAAATAACAAATACAGAAAGTAGATAGTGAATAGTAGTTTTAAAAAAGTAATTAATTAGTACAAATCAATTTATTTCGAAGTACCTATGTGGCTAGGAGCTTAGGATAACTATTTTTCTTGAATATTACAGTATTGACTGTTGAAGTTTCAATCATAGCTTGAATTACTTGAAGCTTAATTAATTGGTTACCCAAACAATTTTAATAATTTTAATTTATACTAAATAATAAATAAATAAAACATGAACAAGGTTGATATTTTAGTCATATTTTAATATTGTGGCACAGTACCTGCTTTAATTTTATTTAAAAAATATTGAATAGGATATTAGTTATTGCATTTATCTAACCAATGTAATACATTTTATATCATTGTAATTATATTATTAAGGGCTATAATTTCTTGTATATCTTTATTATGTTAAAAATGTGTTTAAAATTTAAAAATAATTTAGTTTTGATTTCAAGTAAAATTATAAACAATTTATCTTTTTTATATTAGTAAAGTAACAAATACCTAGTTGTAGAAATGGAAAATAATATAAAAAGAAAATATTCTGGAGGTGCAGAAAAAAAAGAGTAAAAAATCGAAGAATATTATTAAAAGAATCTGAAAAATATTTAAAAATAACAGATATGATGAAAGTAAGTACCTAAGACTTATAATTTAACAACACATATCTAAAAACAATCATGTTTATTTAATACCTTACTATTTAAGAAAAAGAAAGCAGATGATAAATCAGATATTGGTATTGCACAAAATGACATTTTAGTTAATACTGATATACAAATTAAAGGACAACATGAAACAAGTGAAACAGTATGTTACATAAAATATTTTTTAAATTAATGATAATTTTTTAGTAATAGACAAATAATTATATTGTTTTAGAAACAGAAAGTAGGTGTAAATCATGATGAAGAAATTCACATACATATTCTAGTAAGGTTAAGTTAAATTTTCGTAGAATTAACATAAATTAATAATTATTTTTCTATTTTCTAGAAAACTGAAAGTGTTACTGAAAATTCTGAATTAGGAAACTTATTTACAAATCCACAAGAAAAATTGTTCAAACTTCCTCAAAATGCTAATCTGGTACAAAAATTGAATTTCATTAAACAGCATCCTATTCAACCAACCTATTTCTCTAACATTAAATTAGACATACATAAACTGTATTTTAGAAACACTTTAGAAGGAAAAGAAATTGCAAGAAATTGGTTATCTGTGTTATGTAATGATCATGAACTCAAATCTTTCTTCTGTCCTATTTGTATAGCGTTTAGTTCTTTGATAAGTCCATTTACATCGGGACAAACAAATTTTAAACATATTCATGAATATATTAAAAAACATGAAGATAGTATAACACACAAACATTCTGTGGAAAGTTATATTAGTGCTTCCAATGATAAATCTATCGAATTTGGTATTAATTCTAATTTAATAAATTTAAAAAAAACAAATTGAAGAAAATATCCATGTTATTAAACAAGTTATTGAAATCATTAAATTGCTTGGACGACAGAATTTATCATTTAGAGGATCAAAAAACTCTGAGAGTCTTTACAAATGGGATGACAATGATAATTTAAATAAAGGTAATTTTCTTGAGTTAATAAAATTTACAGCAGAGAGAGATACTATTTTATACAAACATTTAAATAAAGCTGTTACAAATAGTAAAAAGCAAAAATTAAATTTAGAAAAAAAATCTTTATCGTCCCGAGTAAGAGGTTCTCTAGTGACTCTATTTTCAAAGACAACCGTGAATAATGTAATTGCTTCTATAGTAAATTCAATAAGAAATAAAATTAAAACCGAGTTGGGTGATAAGATATTCAGCATTCAAGTAGACAGTACTCAAGATATCGGAGCTTCAGATCAAGCAGCAATTTGTATACATTACATTGATAATGGAAAAATCAAAGAAAGATTATTTGCTCTTTTGAAAGTAACAAACTCATCTGGACAGAGGTATTATGAAATGCTAAAAAAATTATTCATAGGACATAATATAAGTTTTAAAAACATTGTAGGAGAATCCTTTGATGGGGCATCTAATATGCGAGGAGAATATTATGGATTACAATCAAAAATTAAAGAGCAAAATGAGAAAAGCATTTATACTTGGTGTTACAGTCACATACTTAATTTGTGTATATGTGATACATGCAACAATTTAGATGCTAAAAATTTATTTGGATTACTTAATAGAATTGCAACATTTTTTGGAGAGTCATATAAACGTATGGCTATATGGATACAACAAAATGATTCAAGTCTTGGTTCAAACAAATTAAAAAAATTACAAAAAATTGGTGAAAATAATACAAGGTGGTGGTGCCGTGAAAAGGCTTTATTTTGGATATTTGAAGGTGATAATGCTCTTTTTCCAATTGTCATTGATGCATTATATATAGTCTCAATTTCTAAAAACTTTGATGATAAAACATGTTTAGAAACAACTTCATTAATTGAAAAATTGAGTGATTTCAAAATTATTCTTACTGCACATATTTTTTTAAATATATTTAAAATTACTGGACCCACATCACAGTACTTACAGATGAAGGGAATGGATTTGTTGACTGCTTGGAATATGATTGATATGGTAAAAAAAGAAATTAGCAATATCAATTTTTAATTCATTAAAAAAGAGTCTGAAACTTTCTCTAAAAAAATGAATGATCAACTTAGTGATATGAATTTGCCAGATGATTTAGTTGTTAAATATAAATTACCTATAGTAAGAAATATACGGGAAAAAAAATTGTATGATGAAATATGTGAAGATGAAATACCTCAGTTACCAATAGACAAATTTAGAATAAATACTTTTCGAGTTATATTAGATCAAATTAATGAAAGTTTAAACAGGCGTTTTTCAGTTAATAAGAAATTAATAGCTGATATTCAATTCATGGTACCAAAGAATTTTTACTCTCTACAAAATATGCCAAAAGATACTTTAAAAGAATTAGCAGATCTAGCAAATATAGATCTTGGTCAATTAAAACTAGAACTTCAAAATTTTTCAAAAGTATACCCAAATTTATCAAGTTCTATAGAGAAGAAAACAAAATTAATGTATTCAGAATCCAAAACTGATGAGGAAAGTGACATAGAATTAGAACTGAAAAACAAAGAAGTTGATGGGGTCAATGAAATTATGTTTCTTTGTAAGATTGATAGTGCAGAAATTTTTTTTATTTAATCATAATTGATAATTGTTATTTATGGTTTCAGGTAAAGCAGCTTACAGTAATCATGATAAAAAAATTGCTTGCATTGTGTTTATAGTTTAATATACAATTTAAATTTACATGTATCTGCTTATACTACACTATGTGAAGCATATGAATTTTTTTAACTTTATCAGTCACAGAAATTAATTGCGAATGGACATTTAGTAAGCTGAAACTAATAAAAACTAGATTACGATCAAATTTAACACAGGATAATTTGGAGTCTCTACTTTTAATGTCTGTAGAAAAAGAGCTGTTGGATGAAATAGATGTGTCTGAAGTAGTAAAATATTTAAAAGAGTCATCCACTGTAATGCAACAATTGTTAAATTTATAAATTAAAATATATAATATATACTAATTAGTAATTACTATTATATTTGTTTTATTTCATTCATTCATCAGTAATAATTTGTCACCTGTTATAAATTATTAATGTGAAACTAATAAATTCATTATTTTGTGGTAAATTATCATTGGTAATAATGTATTTAATGAATTTATGTGCTACAATAAATAATCGAATATAGCGAATGATACATTTTTTAAACATACAAAAAAAGATTTTTTGGGCCGCTCAAATCTTCTCCGCCCGGGCCGGAGTGCTCCTAGTCCGCTACTGAATCTTGCCTAGACCGAGAGTTCGAGACTATTGGAACCAGACCACTCTTCGAGCAAAACTCATGCGCGTATTAAGCCGGCTTGGGGGTTGATACGATTTTAGGCTCTTAAACAGAGACGGCAATCTGTTAAGAAACAAACCGCAAGCACTCGAAAAAGAATCATCGCGGTAAACATACGCGTTGCCCCGACGATTTGCTTACGGAAATTGCAGTTACAAGAACCGGAACGCCGGGTTCAAACCTCGTACCACGGGAATAGGAGACAGCCCCGTTAGGCTCGCTTGCTAATAGCGTCCCGGCACTCCGTGGGGCGATGGCCGGATGACGCGCGACCGCGGGTGTTCATAGAAGACCCGCGCTCGTCCGTGATACGGCCATCGTACATGAGGAAGAATTCGTGGTGGTTACGGGAGTAACGCCTTAATAGAAGAGACTTGATTCGAGTAGAAAATCGTTATGCCCTGGTCGTGGCTCATTATCCTCTCTGTTCGGGGTGCTTGGTTCCAGGGAACTCACCCTGGGTTCTCGCCTGGAGGATGTAACACCGAAATTACACATAGAGGTGAAGCGTCACTGGGGTAAAAGCCAGACGAACTCGTCAAGCTCCACCACACACGGAAAAATGGTGCTAATCTTATGTATGAATCGAACCTAGTGAGGTCTAATGAAATTGTAATAATGAAAATAAAGAAATATTCAGCAGTCACGTTTTTGACTATGTTTGAAAAAAAATAAAATGGTGTATGCTAAAATATTCTTTTAAGGTACCTATAAGATGAAAGGAGCACTTTGTTTAATATTTCCATTTTTACCAGTGGCGTATTAATAGGATGGTATGATGGCCATGATGAGCAATAGTTATTAGTTATGGACCCACGACTCTATAGAGAGCCCCATCAAGGAATGTTCCGAATCCAAAAAACAGCAAATCACTATTATTATAAAATTTAAAAATACGATGATCTTTAGAAAAAACTTTGTTAAACAAAGTCTATCTAACAAACAAAGTTTGTTTTAGTAAAATAAAATAAATTTACTATTTAGAAAAATGACTGATACACGTTTATAGATATTGTTTTTTATGCGGCGTTCGCTCGTCGACACGCGGCGTCTGTGTTATTAATATTTTGGAATAGAAATAACAAGGAAACACACTCTATATTTAAAGCGGTATAATCTCTAGTCTAGAAACCCGTATTGATTATTGTCGAAAAGGTAGGAACTCGATTTGTTATCTGAATATGCAGCCTAAAATACAGGCAAACAGCCCTGCTGCAACAGCCGTCGTTTTTAAAAGTTATTTTGTATTTATCAATTTGTCATTAGTTATTGAATGATTATTGATTAGTCGTCACTCGTCACTCGTTGACCGAGATTTCGTCTTTGCAGTTTCGCTTTCACACTTAGCCGTTAATTATTGTACTCGAAATCAATGTCGAAAAATGTAGCTAGTAGCTATGTACCGTTTCTCGTGAAAATAAATATGTTATGATTAATAATATTAATATTAAGTCATGTGTAGAACTTAGTACTACTATCAGTGAAACAAGTGAATATAGTCTTCAAGTTCTTCAACCCAGACACTTTATCATGTGTTTCATCTAAATGTATGGATAAAAATAAATCTTTTGATATCGAAAACATTTACAAGCAAGATTTTAGCTGTAAGATCAACGCTTAAAAATGAAATAAGTTAACTTATTTTAACAAGAGATCTTGCTCAGCTTTTGATGGTAATAGCATCATTCTTTAACTGTAAGTTTCCTAAAAGTATGTACTGCTCTTTTATTATTTTTAACAATTCCAGTACATCTGCAAACGCAAAACGGTCGTTTTCAAAGCTAAATTAATTTAAGGATACTTAAGACGTACCTACTATGGCACAAAATCGTTTAAGTGGTCTGGCATTAGTTTCAATCAAACAAAAAATAGTCCGAGAAATTTGTTTTAAAGATTTAATCGATAAGTTTAAATATAAATAAAATAAAATATTATAATTATATTTAATTACAAAGGCTCGCTGGATTATTTTGCCACAGGCAGTAAAAGTTGTAGTTAAGCCACTAACTTTTACACGTTATTAATATTTTTAAGTTTAAAGATAAGAAAACAAACAATAATGTGTTAAGTGTATATAAAATTGTATATTTACAATTTTGTTTTTTTTTTCTTTTGCGTGTTTATAAATTGTAAAATTGTAAAAATTGTCATTAGTTAAAAATGTAGATAAAATACATTGTGTGAGTATGTGAATACATGATGTGTGTAATACATTACAACAAAACTACGAAAAAATTATATAATCATAGTATTTATAATTATTTATAGTAGACGTGCGCAATGCAACATGTATAATACACTAGCAGGTGCTTGTAAGATGGATGATAAAATTGAATGGGTTAAGTTTGCTGCAAAAACGTTTTGGGACTTTGACACCACCGTCAAGGATTAAAACTACTATTATTGGAGACATGAAAAGTGGCACGAGACTGCCACGATTCTAACAGTAAATTTGTCTAACATCTGCTGACAGGGTGAGAGTCGGTGTACAACGAAATTCATACACCAGTTTTCATATTTCCGACTAGAAGTATAGATACATATATTGTTGTAATACAAGTCAAAATCACATGACTGGAGTTAGTTTTATTTTGATAGAGGGTAATTAATAAATCTTTAACTAGCTTTCACAATGTATTTAACATCCAATCTACAAGAAACAAAATGTTTGTATCAATTTAGAAAATAATTCCTAATTTATTATTTTTAATTAAGTATATGATGTAGACTGAAGTAAATAAAAAACACATTTTTATTACACTAAAATTAATTATATTATATTTATTAGATACAAATAAATTTAATCAGACATTCATATTACTTATACTTATTAAACTAATTATAAAATATAATCATACCCTGTGACAAGTGTGCACACTTATGATCAATACATTTTAAATAAATATAAGAAGTTCAAATTATTGTACTAATTCATGTTCATTCAACAAGATTTTTACTTATTAAATTTCCATTACCTTAGTTGAGTATTCAAAAAAAATTATTCAAATTATTTATTTTTTTATTTGAATAATTTTTTTTTCATATACTTATGGCAATATAAAATTATTAAATATAATTACTTAAATAACTTTGTCAAATAAAAATACATATAGATCTAGAAATAAAAGTAATTAAACTAAATACTTATAATAAATATCAAACTATATTACAGACATTAAAATACGCCAGTCCTTCAATGAAATAAAGTAAAATACAATTATTTACCAATGATACAGCAAACATTAGTTTTATATTTTGCTTGAAAATTATTATACTTAAATGTAACCAAATAGTGAAGTTCCTAAAGACTAATGTTTTTTACAATAAGGTTACAAAATAAATTAATGCATACATTGTAATTAGTAACGTCTAACATGCTATAGTATTATTTATATAACATGCATATTGTAATAATTTTTATGTTTAAAAACAAATAACACATCAATAATTTAATAACTAAACAAATAATACAAGGTAAAAATAACCAAGTAATATTATTTTGACATAATATTATAAAAATAAAAATCAGTCAAACTTAATAAAAATAAATTATAATAATTAATAACAACACAAGAAATATTTTAACTTGAAGTTAAATTAAGTTTCTGAACATTTGAAAATGCTCCCAAGTCAAAAAATATCTAAATATCACTAAATCATAAAAATTAATAAATTAAAAAATTTCATTTTAAAAAGCAATAATAAATACCTTTTTTATAATATAAAAAAATCATGCAACAGTATTTATAAAGTCCCCATGTTATAAATAATAAAATTAATATACTTTTATATTTGAATTTAAGAATTTATTTATTTTTTAAATAATCTGATGGAATATAATAAATGATCTCACCGCATAATTATTGAATGTAGAATACGAGTGATAATGTTTTATTTTCACTCAACTATATACAAGATATTCAATAAAATCTAATACAATTTTTAAGCTTAGTTTTATTATGTAATTATCATTAGTTAAAAATACTTAAATTTAGTAGGACAAGCATCATGATTAATTACCTGTGTATAAGGAAAAAATAGTAATAATAATAATAATAATACAAAAAAAATCTTAAGATAAATATAAATATAACATACAATTTATAATTTGCATTATTTCAATGTAACAAAAGTAATGAAAAATCATTAAATATAACTAAAAAATTATTCTAAACAAAAAAAAAAAAAATTATATTAATTTAAACTTAAATCAATATAAAATAACGCATATTTTCACCCTTCAGTGAAATTAAGATTGGTAAAAAACACAAGTAGTTTTGTATTTTATTTTTTTTTGAAATTAAATTTGAGTTTTAAACAGATTATTTTTATAGAACCTAATATTATTGATAGTTTAGGAAATATTTATAACATCTAATGAATATAGTACAATATAACACTATAACTTATAGAAATAAAAAAAAAGTTTATACAAAGGTCAGGTATAAAACATGTTATATATATATAAATGTATGTAAATTATATACTATACATACATATATATATATTATATAAGTAATATGAATGCTTATAACCTTACTAGTAATTCTCTATATATGTCTCCAAGAATGTTTTTCAATTTCTATTAAAGAACCAAACGTAGTATTGCAATGTGTACAGGTCAATCGATTACAAAAGTTATAATAATCTATTATTACTTTTGAACATTTGTCTACATGTTTGAGCAATGTTGTACGTTTACTAACAGTACGATTGCACAAAAAGCAAAATAAACATGATTTTTTTTCAAAATCACTTTTTAAATGAGTGGAAGACATGTGCGCCCATAAAGCAAACATAAGATTTGTTTTATACCTAAAATATGCAAAAATATTTACTGTTAATAATAATATTTTTAATTTATTGATATATTTTATACTTACGGGCAAAAATTACACTTGAATGATCCAATAGTTTTGGATCCTAAAATCTTAAGTGCTTTCAATAAATGTGTTCTCTTGGCCAGTTCGCTGATTGCATTCAAATCATTATCCTTTACGCAAAGTTGCAAATAATTCAAAAGGTATAGTTGTTGAGTACTAGCCGAATTCTCTTCTGAAGGAGCAGAATTCTCTATAGGTTGATGTATAGAATTAAGCTGAGTTGAATGTGCTGACATTTCATGTCTTTGACGTGACTCTATACTCCAGTAATACACATCACAAATTGGACATCGGTACAGTGGTAATGAAATACGACATGTATCTGGTGACCAAAAACCTTCGATATATTTTCCTAGTTTCCATAAACCAGAACTAAAAAATAAACATAAAATATATATATACTTATAATATAATAATTGAGTCCTATAAATCAAAATATACTTGTTTATCTCAGGAGTATTCGCAATAGCAGATGCTCGCTTAGGCCTAGGTTTTTTTATTGGTGGGTCCGACTTTTAAAATAAAATGTTCTTCTTAATATATGATATTCCAATCTACATAATTGTATTTATTTTTATTTAAGACTCAAAAATAAACACTTTAATTTTATTATATTAAATTTTAAATATTTAACATGTAAATTTGTTATATTTAGAGGCAGCCAAGATAAGACAATGGCCCGTTAAGGAGGGACAAAGCCAATTTATTATGACAAACTAGTCATTATCTTAATTTGGTTGCACTTTATCTAAATATAACAATAAGTTAGCAATAATGATAAATATTACTTTTTTTTTGTTCGCGTTTGTTTAGAAGTAGTTGGTTGTTGGTTGTCATCTGTTGGTAGTTGATTTTTTGTTTTTTGATTATGTCGACAATTGGAAGTTTTCTGACACACTTTTCTAAGTATAAAATAAAAGATATTTATAAATATTGTTTGCCTACATATTAAAGCAAATAATTATGTATTACTTAGCAGCCACAGCTTTTTTAGTATCAGGATTTTTTCTTTTTCTTGTAATTGGTTTTCTGAAACAAATATTACACATTAATATTTAAATTTAAGTCAATTTTTAAATTAGTTCATAAAATTAACAACTTTTTTGGAGGAGTATTGTCTTCTTTAATAGTCAAGTCAACTGTTTCATCAGTTGCAAATAAAAAATGGAATCCAGTATTTGGTAAAACTCTTGATGGTTCAGTTTCTGATATAACTAATGATGTTTCTGTTGACACATTGTTTACTTGAGGTGGTGTTTCAAAGTACTCATCTTCCCCATTTATTGAAGAATCCACATTAAAAGTTGAGAAGTTCTCCAAATCTGGAGTTATCATCATTTCTTCACTTGAGATACTTGAAGAACGTACAGTATTTGTGGATTGTACATTATCGTCAAGTATAGAAATTACTTTTCTTGAGTTGAACAAATATTTTTTGTTTAATTTATCAATTTAATATATTCTGTATACATATACACATACCTTTTAACAGCAAATGGGTCATTTTTATTTGTACGTTGATAAATTTTGTGGGTGTTGGTATTGGCTCTTGAATGATCAGGAAGATTAGATATTATCCATGTACTAATAAAATTTTCTTGTTGTGGATGAACTTGTACATCATTATTATTATCATTATTATTATTATTATTATTATTATTGTTGTTGTTAATTGGAACGTTATTGTCATCATCATCATCATCATCATCCAAACAAATCACTTCATCATCACTATTCAAAATTTAAAATTAATTATTTTTAACACGTTGACTGCTAGTGGCCGACGGCATCTGCAGAGTACTAGCATACACTTAATTATATGTAAAATATCTGTCTTTCACTTTTTTATTCAAATAATATGTTAGATTGGACTAAATTTGGAGACCCGGATTTGAAACAGATAATATTATATTTTGTGAATGTTTGGTATTGCTGGTTTCACTTTGTTCATCTGAATCAAAAGTTATAATTGGATTGTATGTTTGATCTTCATCTATGTCATCGAAATCATTAAATTAATTTCCACTATCATCAGTGTCTAATAGTTCACTTACTATATCCTCATACATTTTAAGTTGCTTTGGATGCAACGCCATAGTTAAAAGTAAAATTACAATAAAAATATCACACGCAAATTTATTATGTACAACTGCCGACGGTCAAATAGCAACTGACTAATTATAATATAATAATGACGCCATACAGTCGCCGGCTACTATGCACTTTAATTGTCATATTTGTATAAAGAAAGACATAACAAAGATAATAATATCAAAATTATTCATTTTTTTTTTTTAATATTTGTTTTGTAAATATGTTAATGTACATTTATGAAATGATATCAAAAATAGAACGTAACCTTGTAGGAAGGATAGGGATGCGACGGCCGGCTGCTGCATGGCAGTCAACGTGTTAATCAAATAGTTTTACATTTTAAGTTTTAAAATAATAATCTTGATTTTTTTTATAACTTAATAATAATAATAATAATAATAAACTTACTTTGTTATTCCATTTTCTTTAGATAGAACACTGTAACTATGATTATTTATCGTATTTCCACTGAAAAAAATATATATAATAAGTTATATAATTAATAATTATACACATATAGGGTATGTTTTATTTTTATTTACATAATATTTTATTATACAATGCAATAGATTATTTCAAAGACATGAAACACCTTCAAATTTGTGTACTATCACATCATAGATACCTTAATCTAGTTCATATTTTAATATTATTTTTAACTTACTGAGTAGTACAATTCACAGTAGATTGATTTTTACGTGTGGCAATACTATTCACAGCAGATTGATTTT